AGCATGGCTATGTGTGCATTGAAGTCCCCCCCCTATGATCACTCGGTCTTGTGCTACAGTAGCACAGACCTAGTTCAGATCTAAGCTCTCGCACAGTGGTTTGCTATATATATTATATATTTTTATAGGGCCCCCAGGTAGCTGAATCTCAACAGCAAGAGATTCAACACATCTCCACAGTGCGGCGGGTTGGCTATTAAGGAGCACGGGATAGCTTCTTTTACCAGGGTCATCAGGCCTCTAGCACCATCCAGGTTTGGGGTGGTGAAGGCATTATATCCTGAGAAGCACACGGATCCCATAGTTAGTGTCTCCTGGAGCATGACGACGTCAATGCTCCTTGCTCGCACAACTGACTGGAGAAAGGAGTTCTTGCTTTTATAGCTACAGATATTTCACTGCAGAATGCTTGGATTGTGTGCCATGATGGTTACTCAGAGTCACTTGCTTCAGCTTCAAATGCCCCAGTGCTGGTGGCATCAGATAAATACAGATCCTCGTTGATTGAGGATTGTACAACTTCCTCTAAGTCAGACACTCCGGTTAAGGCTCTACCGAAGAGTGTAGAGCCTAGGTTGGAAGTGCCACCTCGGGTCAGGGGACAAGACTTTGGCTGTACAGACTCGGCCTGCAGTGGGGGCTTTTGCTGCACAGTTTCAGCCTGTCCTGACAGACTAGCTGGGGTTTCACGTAATGCTTCTCCCGAAGGTAGCCTGCCATCCAAGGATTTAAGGAGTGGAGCACTGCTCATTATCGATTTGGAGGCTGCTAGCTTCCTTCCCTTCAGAGCTGCCACAGTTTGGGTCATAGCCGTCATTGCGACCTGCACTGCTTTCTCCACCTCCTCACTAATCCTCACAAAGGCTATTGCTACTGCAGAAACTACAGCACTCAACAGGAGTCATATCTTTCCCATCAAAGAAAAGATTATCATCTACTGGGGGGACCATTGCTGTGGACTTTGAACCTTTTTCCCTTTGGTTCTTTTTTGTGGTTTTGCCACTAGCAAGCTTGGGGAATTCCTCTCTGTTAGAGGTATCCAATTTTCGCTGTGGAGGCGACTCCTTCCTCTTAGGAGGTCGGGTAGTCTTTTCTTTTTGGTTTTGTTTTTTGTTTTTGCCCCAGACCGGGGGCAGGCAAAGTCAGGACGCTTTTTGGCTAGCTCCTGCTTTTTAGTCACTGCCTATTTCCTGACGGAGCAATCCAGGCTCCAGGCATGATGCTTTTTGGCACAATTTGGACACGGCTGTTGTGTCCTGGCCATCTTTGTGTGCCTTGATACACACCGGTTTCGTGTGCCTCGCTGCATACACCACATTTGGCTTTGGCCTTGCAGTTGGCCTGGTGATGCCCAAATTTCTGGCACGTGAAACACCTCAAGGGCTCTGGCACATATGTCCTGAGCTTGTATGAGCCCCAGTTACCCAGATCAAGGGTGGTGATTAGGGCTCCCTTGAGGATAACCAGGACTTGTCTGGTTGGAGACTTCCCTTTGGTCATGCGGGAAGCCTCCACCACTTGTGGGAGAGACGTGATCACCTCCACATCGAACCCTAGTGGGAAGCCAAGTAGCACCATCTTGAACTTTTTCTCTTGGGAGGTCAGTGGTGAGATACACACCTTTCTCCCGTCTTTTAGCATCTTGAGTTCCTGCAGGAAGTTCATGGTGGCTTTGTCTTTAGGGGCAATGATCATGCCCTCATCTCTAGAGATTCGGATTGAGAGTCTGACGTTTCTTTCCTTCTCCAATGCCCTTACCAGCTGGTATGCATTGTCGAAGTCTTCAGGTTTTTTTGGTACCTTAAACCGCGTTAGTCGACTTGGGGTGTGCTCTGCCTCTTCTTCAGAGTCAGTTTCCACCCTTTGTCGCTTCACGTCTCCCCTTTGCAGGGGTTTAAGGCCTTTAGAAGTGGGGGCAGCTGGTTCGGCTGGTTCAGCTGGAGCCCCTTCTTGACTGAGGGAGTTCTGAGGGGAGTTCAGGTTTCCCTCAGTCTGGTGTGCATGAACAGACTTTGTGTTTGGTGTTTCTGTCTTGTCCTTGCTCGGTTCAGCAGGCCGGACACGTTCGGCCTGCTTTTGGTTTTTCTTTCGCCCCCCTGCAACCTTGAAAGGCTCCAGGGTGACTACCATGTTCGGATTCATTTTGAGGTCATTTAGAGAGTTGGAAACAGATTGGTCCCCTTTCGGGGATTATCCTTATACCTACTCTCAGGGTGAGGTCTTAAGAAGGGCCTCAAAAAATAGCTCTGATCCCTACACTCGACCCTTCAGCATCACAGGACAGATCCCCCTGAGTGGGCTGAACTCGGAGTTTTGGTGTGGTAAACGCTCTGCACCCCAATCCTGCTACAAGGGGGGTGTGATCACGTCACCGCAGCCCAGGCGAATGTTGGAAATCGACGTTTCCCGCAGGCCCAGGCTGCACCAGGAAGTCAGAAGTGGGCAAGAGTTAGGCACCGAAAAGTCGCCCTTGGTGCGTGTCCATAAACTATGTCCAGGACCAGAGGGTCCAGACCTGGTTTGTAACCTCGCTCTCCAAGGGAGCGGTAATGGGGCACTTACTACAAGAGAAGGCCTGGCCAATTGTCGCGGCGAACCACGAGATATTGGCGGAGCTCTCTGTGTAGTTTGTTGTCATAGAGTATTAATCAAGCTCAAGTCTGGTGGCTTTTGCTCAGGAGGATCACGCCAAGTGGGTGACAATAATGCCTCGCCAATTGGGTGATCTCTCTCTATACACCTCAGGGGAGAGGACCTGTGAAGTGTGTACACCACAGGGGAGAGGACCTGTGTGTTGTGTGGAGTGGCCGGGTTGTGGGTCGTCAATATCACTTGAATCATTTGAGGGAGCGGGAGAAGGAGCACCGGTGAGGTCTACGGGAGCGGACGTGGGAGCGCCGGAGAGGTCTGCGGGAGCGGGACCGCTGGAGAGGGCTGCGGTAGCGGGAGCGACGGCTGGTCGCTCAGACTGAGGAGGGTATAGCCTGACGACCTCACCGAGAAAGTTATGAAATCGAAAGTGAAAGTTCCGGTTTATGAACAAATATCGGGAGAGATACTGTTCGTAATATTCGGATCTATTACCCGGACATTTTACCCACTCTTTAACGTCTCTCCAGAGTCTTTCGATATTCTGGGTATGGATATCTCGGTCGCCAGGATCAACAAACTCTTTGGAGTGGTTGATAACACGGTGTGTATAACCCTCCTTGTCGAGACCAAGATAGGCTCCCCAACCGTCACTGTAGATAACGGTCCCCGGAAGAATATACTTCTTTATCAGAGGGACCAGAGTGTCCTTATTCCGATTAAGAGAGAGGGGAGGCACTAGAGGAATAAAGAAGAACTTCTTCGACTCCCTCACTATGCCTCCAAACACCCAGATATTACTCAGCTCCCGTCCGCGACCGTACTTCCGCTTCCCGAAGCAAGACTCATCAATCTCGACAGTGATGTCCTCTCCTCCTATGGGGTCTTGATTTGACAGCTAGTGAGCCGTTACTTCGGAGCAGAAGCTCCTCCAGTCAACGCTCGTTCTTTCCGCCCACCCAAGATTTTCAAAGATCGTATCGTGGCTCCACTTTTTTCCCAGCCAGTGATTAACAAAGCACACAATTTCCGATGGACGGACGTGTGCTCCTTCAAGAAATGTTCCTTTAAAATCACTAACGGAGAAGGCGCACAGCTTCCGCCGCTTAGTTTTGGCGATTTTCTGCCAACGGCTGCAAAACCACCGACCACTTCTTAATGTACAGGGTAAATTGCAGAATTTGCACAGCACTTGAGAGGGTAGCACTCCGTGGTTTCGGAATAATTGAAGGCTAGCCTCGTCGTCTTCAAAATAGTTTGTGATAACCTGATTGGGTTTAACTCGACAACCTTCACAAACACAAGCTATGGCAAGACTAATTTGAAAATTGAATTTCATAGCTTCTATTTTAGCTAATGTTCTATCAGTGGCTGTTTCCCTCGTGCATTCTTTCCCCACTGGCTATTAAATTAACCGCCAAACAATTGACCAATGAAATCGTGACACTGGCCGTGACGTCACGGGCGAGATAAACAGGAACAGTACGGGTACGAGAGACCCCGCGCATGTGCAGTGGAGAATTTGGTCAGTATTCCCGCAGCTCCCGTGTGAATCTCACTTTCTATTATTTTTCTATTTATTTTGAAAAATAAATAGCTTCGTTATTATTAATTTGCGAGATAAGTTTATTTAATGAAAAGTGATTGATAATTAATTATCTTCAAGCCATAAAGTTAGTTTTCGTCGATTCAGTGGTGACGCCTTTTTCCAGTAATACTGCCAAACCGGCATCAGCGTGAATGAGCTTGCTGATAAACTAGCTGAAATTGGCAGTGGTATGCCCCTAAATTTCATTATCTTTCAGCCAGGCTGAGAACTCTTAATGGACAACATATATTCAAGGCCCAGGTGAAGCAAGCCTGGGAGAATCTAACTGAACTGTAAAAATGTTTTTCTTCCCTCTCTCATAAATCCCAAATATTTATATATTTTTCCTTACATTTATCTCATTCAGTTTCTATATCCATGGAACCATTATTTGCTGACGTTTTCCATCAATAGTGCTTTTAACTGGGTTCTGCTGAGTTCAACAGAATCCAGGCTGTGAAAAGCTATAGGCTAAGGCTAAGCAATTTGACTTGTGCTTAGATGCCGTTGTGTCCTCACAGCCATCCTAAAATGAATGAAAGCAGCATAGTTATTCTTAAAAGACCTGTCATTAGAGTCAACAGGAGGGTCAAATCTATCTGGAACACACACACACACACACACACACACACACACACACACACACACACACACACACACACACACACACACACACACACACACACTATTTAGCATTATACAAGATGTACATGCCATGTGTGCACAAGCAACTCGTTGCCACTAATAAAGTAGGTGGTACACAAAAACGTTATGTAGTACATCACATAAAACCCCGTGAGTAAAGAAAGAAGTATAGTACTACCTCAGAGCAGATCTTGCAGACGTTATCCAGCTGGTACTTCGAAGCCAACAGGTAAACCTTGGCGGCGAGTGTGACGTCCGGCAGCTGGGTTTCGTTCATGTACAGATGGTTAAGGAGCCACTCGAAGGCCTCAGGTGGGTCCTGGGGAAGCGCCAGCGTGTCATCCCCGGCGAGCGGCCCGTACAGCATGGCCTCAAACACTGGCGAGCTCATGGCGAGTAGCAAGCGGTGGGCCTGAGATACGGAGGCACTTAGGTCCAAAGGATTTCGGAAGGGAAGTATAGATATACATACATTCCTGTAAACACATAGTCACATACAGGGAGAAACCTACACACACATATGGTAATTTTCCTCTACATTACAGCTAAATTATGAAATGAGATATTAATTGCAGAACTGAAATAAAAAGGGATACCAGACATTGTACATGGGCATTATAACTTTATATGTGGAGAACATGACCCATTCCAAAACTGATTGTATAAGTAAATAAATAGATGAAGAAAAATCTACCTATGCTATTAGAAAGTAGTTGGCATAAGAGCTCAAGACACTGTGGGAAAGCGTGACTGATATAGGTTTTCCTAAACATATTATGATGCTTGTAAAAAAAAAAAAAAAAAAAAAAAAAAAAAAAAAAAAAAGCTCCCGTAAAATTACCCCATAGGATTATTGACTTCTCTGGCAACTATGCACAACAAGACGGATCCATCACAGTTGGAGGCAGAACTGTAACTAATCTAGGCTAAGCAGATGATGTTCTCAGGTAGATTATTAAATACAAGGCACTATAATAAAAATTAAACAATTTAAACAGTGTTCCATTGAAACAACACTACCCCGCAACTTGAAGCTCTGTATACTTTCAGAGACTGCACAGTGCCTCTCCGGCTCCTTTGATCTCCAACATTCCCAACACCTAGCCATACAATGGGAAATCATACAAACACTTCTCAAAGAGATGTAGACCAATTCAAGTGGTATATGCGTACCCCATCTACTACGGTATACCATAAATCTGATATATATATATATATATATATATATATATATATATATATATATATATATATATTATATATATATATTATATATATATATTATATATATTATATATATACACATATATACTTATTAATATATAAATACATACATACACACGACCTTACACGTTGACGCGGCAGAAATTCATATACAAAACACACACACACATATATAAATATATATTAATGAGGTCCAATCATATATGATTTACGTGCCTTAATTTTTACATATTTATATATATACATGGATATTTATATATATATTTATAATTATATATGTATAATTATATATATATATATATATATATATATATGTATATATATATATATATGTATATATATATATATATATATATATATATATATATATATGTATATATATATGTATATATATATATATATATATATATATATATATATATATATATATATATATATATATATATATATATATATATATATATATATATATATATATATATATATATATATATATATATATATATATATATATATATATATATATATATATATGGGAGAGAAGGAGGGGAGAGTGAGGAAGGTGAGAAAGGAATAGTGGATTTGTAGACCGCATCAAACTTTACATGTTCGAATCCCTTCTCGTGTGAAGGACACTAAGCTATCAAAGTCTAGAGTGAACACCGTAATTAAGTAAATTTGGTAATACACTGCAGCGCCCGAAATTAGGATTGTTCGTTAGGAAGAGATTCACGAAAAAACAATGTCAAAGCCCCTGAAATGCATAGTAAGAGACAGATAAACTAACCATTTAAGCTCCATAGATTCCGTAGACTTCTACATGTTGGATGGCCAGACAAGCGCAAGATTAAGTTTTGCAAAAAGAAAAAAAAGAAGGAAAAAAGAAAAAGAAAAAGAAGAAGAAAAAAAGGAAATTTGAGTCTATGCAATGACATTCGTGAGCAATTATTATAGTTTTTGATGTGGCACGAAGCAAAGGGACTAGGATATGACTGGTAAAAGGGCATGGTGTACGGGAGGAGTAAACGGGGAAACTCAAATTCGAAATTCAAGACTAGCATCAATCATATCGCAGAATTTTGCATCAACGGAGTTTTAGAAAAGGCGAAGGAGAAGGAGAGGATTTTTTGCACAGGTGGCACGGCAATTCAACCAAATGACCTATCCGATTATAAGAATAAGAAAAGAATGTAAAAAGAGAGAAGAAAGGAAATGTTGTTTATTTCCCGTGAACTTTTATTATACGAGAGAAAAACTTCTAATGCCAAAACATGAATACCTGATCAGATAAGTGTTCACGGAGTAAGCCAGTTCCCGCAAGTGAACGTCCGGGCGAGCAAACGCTGCATGCCACCACTAACATACCCTTTTCATGTCCTTTAAAAAGAGCGGAATTGATTGTCGCGCAAATGAGGAGCCTCGATTACGAATTAGATGTCACAGGTCGAGGAAACGACGCTCCCTGAAGATGGATTATGCAGGCAACTAACTCTCACAATGAAAGTGTGTCGTCGATCGGGGACATTTGAGCACAACAGTCATATATTTCCATTGAAAAGATTATGATTTTAGTACATGAGCCGCATGAATCTTCATGTATGTATGTATGTACGTAACTCCACCTTTATATTCAAACACAAAGACTTCGAAGAACATAAATGAAAACCCAGAGACTTTATGAAGTATTAATGCGACACCTCACCTGTAAGACGGTAGAATGGCCAGGGAAGGTGATAATGAGATCCGACAGGTGGCCCGAATTTCGCAGGTAGGCCAGGCGCTCAGATGGGGAGAACAGCTGGCACTGCCACTGCTTCCCGCTAGATGCCATCTGTAGGGTTTCCCCAAAGAATTATTGGACTGCATCATACTAAGCATTGTATGGGTAATTTATAGAGAATATAGTCACACACACACACGTTGCAGGAGTTTACCTTCACGTGGGTAATTCTACACTCGTATACGAATATGAAACTGACCATAACTCATTTTCGACCACTCACCCCCAAATTCACCCCCCTCCCCCCACACCGCCAGGGACGGTTCCCTTCAGTGTTTAATTACAGCCCCTGGCTACATGAGAATCAATAAACATATAATTATTCTGAATATCTGGATGTCTATAAATAGATGGATGTCTAGATTGATGAATGAATGAATAGATGGATATGCGTTTGCACATGTACACGTACACGAATACACACACATGTACGTATCTGCGCATTAAAAAAAAATCCATTTATGGATATACATATTGTGTTGCGGTTTCTGCAATAAGGTCATATCCGGAAGACTCATTCACTAGTTTCCAATCTCCAAAGGATGCACATATCGATGGTAAGTTCGCGCGCAATTATTTACGGGACATTTATCCCCCCCCCCATGTTATTTCAGGATAATTACGAATAAATTTTTAGCATAATTACTAATCAGAAACTCCGAAAGAAAAATGTTTTAAAAGCGGGGATAGGTATTTTCCTTATTTACCGATAGTCTCCCCTTATAAAAGAATAACAGAAAACGGACCTTTTCCCACGTTCGCGGACTCAACATGGCAACTTCGTCCAGTCGACTCCATATCTTTTCTAATTTGTTTCACTTCGCGCAACACATTAGCCGCAGGCGTCGCGAGAACTTTGAGTGATAAATACTTTGTGTCTGCGTGAAAATTATCAAAAGAAAACAAAATATCGATATATTGCCGATGTCTAAAACAGCGGAGGCGGATATACATAGAAAATGTAACAGCTAAATTCGAGGAATGACTGGTACAAATTTTGCTTAAACCGGTCGACCACCAATTGAGTTTTAAATATTCTATCGACCCCAACTTTTAATTCAAGTAGAGAAAAAATGATGAACTCAATATAAGTGATAGTAGTAGTGATGGCAGTAACTGTCGTAATAGTAAAAATAGTAGTAGTAGTAAAATAGTAGTAGAAGTAGTAGTAGTAAAATAGTAGTAGAAGTAGTGGTAGTAGTAAAATAGTAGTAGTTGTAGCAGGAACGGCAGTGATAATAACAATATTAAAAACAACAGCAGCAGCAACAGTAGAAGTAGTAGAAGAAGCAGTAGTAATGCTATCGGTAGTTGTAGTAGCAGTAGTAACAACAGTAGTAATCGTTGTGGAAAAAGCACCATCGATGAAATTGGTAAAATGTAATAATGACTAATACTCTCTAAAGATAGCAAAACTAATGCTACATAATTGAGGAAGGAAGTAGCGTAACACTATAGTGGTGGTAATAGCAGTTACATTAGTAATAGTAGAAGCAGCAGCAGGAAAACAGTAGCAGTAGTAGCAAGAGTATTATTAGCAGCAGCACCAAGAGAAGTTGTAGTGAAAGTAGTAGTAGTAACAGCAATAGCAGTAGTTGCAGTAATAGCAGCAGTAAGAGAAGCAGTAGTAGCAGAAGTAGTATTGATGGTGATAGAAGCAGTAATAGTAATAAACGTAGCAGTTATAGAAGCAGTAATAATAGTAATAGTAGTAGTAATAATAGTAATAGTAGTAGTAATATTAGTAGCGGAAACAGTAGAAGTAATAGTAGAGGTAGCAGTCGTTATAGAAGTAGTAGTAACCATATCAATAGTAGTAGTAATAGCAGAAATAGTAAATGCATCAGTAGCGGCAGTCGTAACAGTAGTAGTAATAGTAGCAGCAGTAGTAGTAGAAGAAATAGAAAAAGTAATAGGCGCAGTATTAATATTAGTATGTTGCAATAGTAGTGGTACCATCAGCAGCAGCAGTATTAGCAGCAGCAGTAGTAACAGCTATATAAGTAGTAAGAGAAGTACTTGTAATAGAAATAGTAATAGAAATAAGAGCAGTGGAAGTAGCAGTAATATTACCAGTAATAGTAATATTAGTGGTAATAGTAGAAGTAGAAGGTGGTGTTGCGGAAATAGTAGAATAGTAGTAGTAGTAAAAGTAGAGGTAGTAGTAGTAATAGAATTGTAGCAATAATAGTAATAGTAGTAGTAACAATAGTAATAAAAGTAGTAGGATGTAGTAGTAGTGATAGTAGCGGAAATAAGTAATTGCAGTTGTAGAAGTAGAAATATAGTAGTAGTAGTAATAGTATTAATAGTGATAGTAGTAACAGTAACATTAGAAATAGTAGTAACAGTAATAGTAGTAGCAAAAGTAATAGCAGTAATAGTAATAGTAGTAGTAGTAATAGCAACGGTAGCAGTAGTAGTAAAAGTAGTAGTAGTGACAGTGGCAACAGTAGTAGTAGCAGAAGTAGCAGCAATACGAGAAGTAGTCGTAGTTCTTGAGTGTCCTTGTCCGTGCAAATTGGGCACGTGGAAGGCACCAAGAAAATGCGGCTTCTCTCTGTTTATGTCCTTTGTTAGCCAGGAATAGGTAGAGGAGGAAGAGCGCACCAAGGCACGTGCAGCGGCCTCGAAGAGCAGGAAAGAGAGGAGGCGCGCCACTGTCCGTCATGCGCAGGCGCGGAAGAGCCCAGACGACCAATGTGTCACGTGATATGAGCGGAGCGCGTGGGCCTTGAGAATATGCATATTTGCATGGTAACATGGTATTATTATATAATCCACTGAAATAACAATGGTAGTAGTAGCAGTAGTGGTAGTGGTGGTAGTGGTAGAAGTAGTAGTAGTAGTATTTGAAGTAATAGTTGTAGTTATAACGGGAAAAGAAGTATTAGAAGTAACAGTAGTAGTATTAGTAGACGTAGTAAGTAGCAGTAGAAATAGTAGTAGTAGTAGCAGTAGTAGTAGTAGTAGTAGTAGTAGTAGTAGTAGTAGTAGTAGTAGTAGTAGTAGTAGTAGTAGTAGTAGTAGTAGTAGTAGTAGCAGCAGCAGCAGCATTGGTAGTAGTAGTAGTAGTAGTAGTAGTAGTAGTAGTAGTAGTAGTAGTAGTAGTAGTAGTAGTAGTAGTAGTAGCAGCATTGGTAGTAGTAGTAGTATTGATAGTAATAATAGTACTACTACTAATAGTAGTAGTAGCTGCAATAATAGTAATAATAGTAGTAGCAGTACTAGTAATAGTAGTAGTAGCTTCAATAATAGTAATAATAGTAGCAGTACTAGTAATAGTAGTACTTCTAATTGTAGTAGTAATAATACTAATAGTAATAACAGCAGCAGTAGTAGTAGCAGTAGCAACAGCAGCAACGGTAGTAGTTGAAGCAGTAGTTGAATTACAGTATGGTGAAAGCAAACAGGTGGCACAATGGCTGCTACTCACAATTTTCAAGTTCCACGTCCCGATAATCAGTTCACGGAGAAGATAACACAGGAGCTGAGAGTGGACTGAACTACTGGCTCTCTGGTGCGCGAGAGAGACGGGGTGAAGGAGAGATTCGGTCGTTCCGTACGGGACGCAGACAGGAATATAACCTGTACAGGCTGTCGCGAGAACCGACTGGTGGGTGTTGGATGTGTCGTTATTTGCTGAGATTGTTCGTGTCTTGATTGGCTCCTAAACTGTGATGTTACAACTCTTGTTGTTTAATCAAAGCTTTTTTTTTTTTTTTTTTTTTTTTTTTTTTTTTTTTTTGCGAGCATATTTATCAAAATACAGTTGCACAGCTGTAGTCGATGATTTGTGAGTGGGACTGTGACGACATCAATATAAATGCCAAGAATTGCTATAAGAATATTTATTTTCATGTATATTTCGGTTATTTCGAATATCTTTATGATAAATTCAAAATCTTCTCTGTTATTTCTTCTCAACAAGCCTTCTGACATATATTTTCGTTGTCATTACTGCATGGGTCACAATCGAAAGTAATTTTGTATAAATATAAGCAATGTATTCTGGACAAATAGAGTAAACGTATTATGTTGAGCTATATTTTGGATAAAGTATTACCCTGTCATTTCTAGCATCAATCATCGACCGAATCGGACGTTATACCCGATGGGGGGGAGGGGGGAGTAGAAGTATTTCTCCCAAATTCATTATTTTTCGTTTTATTAATCCAGACATGTTAGAAGCGGGAGTCGTATCCTACTAAATTCGACGTATTTTAAACTTGCTCCTTAAAGCAACGTGCAAAGTCATATCAAGTCCTTGGGTTTTAACACTCAAGACATCCCATGAGCACCTAATAAGCAGGGGGGGGGGGCGGTGCATAATAATCGTAAACTGTGTTATATTTTTTCTTTAACAAAGAGCGTCAATAATATGCATTGGGTATATTTATATGGCTTATTAATGTTATTATTCTTTTTTATTATCGCATCCCTAGGCTTAACGAATGTGATATTACATGTAATATGCGATATGATCCGAATAAAAAGACGCAAAAAAATCGCATGTAAAAGCACGGCAACAAAGGATTTTATTAAAATGTGAAATGTTAGTCCTTTATATATACGGGCGTCTTCTGTAGCGTCCTTAACTCTTAATACCGTATTTAGTTTAATCCTAATCCACCGTGTCCGTACCGGAGACTACAATCTCCGCTGCCAGACGTAAGACAACGGCGCGACATTAATGTTTAGTAAAAACTGTCGTACTCATTATTCCATCATGTAAGAGAAGAGAGATGTCGCGCATTGAAATTCGCTCTTTTGGGAGATTTTTTTTTTTTTTTTTTGAATGGCATGTTTTTGGCAATCATATATATAAGAACCTATTTTAGACATTTAAACAAAATCTCTGCACTGCTTAGTAAACTAATTGTCTAAAGTTTTCTATACCTAATGATATTTCTCAGTTGTTTCTGGAGACTACCTTTCCCTTCTCTTCATCCCAGACGTACCTAAATGATTGAAGACAGGGCATTAAAAACTCATTCATATTAATCAATTCTTTATGTTTCCTGTGTTCTCAAAATTGAAAACTAAGCCTAGCATCATATTAAAGTAAGAAAGTTCATACCTCTATTTTCTGTAAACTTTTCTACAGGATATGATTTGTTCAGAATCTTGTGTTAAAGGACTGTTTATTAAAATTTATATTAATTCTTGAAATGTTCCTGGTGTGTGATGTAGTGATCGTTCACCCCTTTGCTGTTGATGTTATTTTTGGGCGTGTGGTAATGGGTTTCAAAATCTAAGGGGTGGAAGGTGAGGTGTGTCTTGCCTTTTTCTTGGTATAAAAATCTGTGGTACTTTGAAACATTTCAGTGCAATGTTGCTCTTCACACATAGCTGCTACATGTTGTGTATGGTGGCGTTTGGAGCAAGTCATGCACTCATACCCGTAAAAAAGCAACAAAATTATTCAAAATATAATACAAATGTTCAACACTCATCCTTCATGTACCTACATATATGATATAGAAGACATTATTAAAAATATTACCTAAAGATTTGCTGTCGAGTATAAAATCTGACAACTGATGTTTGTTTTACAAAGATTGAAAAAGAGGTGATTGTTATCGAAAGTTGTAGTGAGTCACTCAAAATGGTAAACAAAACTGCTATAGCAACTGTAAAACCTATGTTTTACATATCCATCTCGCAGGTGGCTCAGTGGGCCTACTCAAAAGGAAAACATGTTTATTTAAGAAATATTATATTTTTCCTTGATGACAAGGTAATATTTGTAGTAGTAAAATTGTAAAAAATGCTCTAACGACTCTAAAACCTATCTTTTTCACAAAGACACACAAAATGACATTCACCAGTATCCATCGCGCAGTTTCCTCGGTCAGTTCTTAGCTGCGTTGAATCGTGTTGGAGGAGGTAAACATGTATTCTTCAGGATGCTGTTCACGAAGTCCATGGGAAAGTATACTAGCAAATTTTGTAGTAAAATAGTTGAGAAAACTCAGCACGCAATTCTTATTTATAACACTGGTTAATATTTGATTTAAAACGCCAACTTCTGTGACCTTGATCATACATTTTTTGTTTCACTAACCTGGAAATACGAGTTCCTTGCCCGCAGCCTCTGAACTTCAAAGATTCCTTGTGGGATTTTTTTTTTTTTTTTTTGGCTTTTACATTCATTAGCCGAAGTTATTTCCTTTATCAGAATACTTGATCAATTGTGTCAATATAATATCATTTTCCGAATAAAAAAAATAATATGAAAATTCTAAGACGATCGATGTTATTGCTAAAAATAACTCTACATGGCATCTCAATCGATAACTCCTGTAAAGTTCATGATGAACTCGTGACGTAACTCTACATGATTGGTGGGATCAACTTGTCCTTTTTGCTCATGTGCAGGATTAAAAAATCCGGCACGCCTAATCAGACTCCGAATAACACAATCTGTTATCAAAATATCCAAGTAGTCTATAAGAATTGTGATCTAAATGAGAAAATGATCCAATTTAACGCTCATTCTTCCGACAGACATCAGAGCTCAAGAATAATAATTATAATAATAATAAAAAAGCAATCAACAAGCAAGGAATAAATATCCAAGTTAGGGACAAAAAGAAGGAAAACAACACAGTCGTAGAAAACGGTGCTGCCCGAGGGCGTCCACAAATCTCCAAAATCGAAGAAGTTCTCCGAAACTTCGACCCCAACTTGAGAGGAGGAGGAACTTCCCACGGCAAAGTTTATTTACTCACCTTAACTTGGCCGGGTTTATGAGCAGCTTGGCTGAGTGGCCTGGCCTTCTGCAGCCGTCATAATGGAGAAAACCCCGTCGATGAATCGCTGGCTGCCTCTGAATGTGAATTCTCGTCAGGCTAGCCGGGTTGGTTGTGGGGATAGGGGGAGCGGGGGGGGGGGGGATTCATATCCACATACTGGTATACCCACAAATACACATACATACATACATATATACATACATACATGCATACATACATACATACATATATATATATATACATTAATGTATATATATTAATGAATAGATTGCACACACACACACACACACCACACACACACACACACACACACACACACACAACACACACACACACACACACATATATATATATATATATATAATATATGCATACATATATATCTATATCTATATATATACATTAATGTATATATATTACACACACACACACACACACACAACACACACACACACACACAACACACACACACACACACACATATATATATATATATATATATATATATATATATATATATATATATATATATAAGCACCTGCGCAATCTGAAATACGCAGACGACCGCACGGGAAATATGAATGTTAATATTAGTGTATGCTTGGGTGCGTTTCTACATGCTTTCGTTTCTCTGTAGGTGTTCCTATTTAGGCGCTTTTGCATCGTATCTTTTGCCTCGCATCTTTTGCATCGTATCTTTTGCATCGTATCTTTTGCATCATATCTTTTGCCTCGTATCTTTTGCATCGCATCTTTTGCATCGTATCTTTTGCATCTTATATTTTGCATTGTATCTTTTGCCTCGCATCTTTTGCATCGTATCTTTTGCCTCGTATCTTTTGCATCTTTTGCATCGTTTTGCCTCGCATCTTTTTGCATCGTATCTTTTGCATCGTTTTTGCATCGTATCTTTTGCATCGTATCTTTTCGTATCTTTTGCATCGTATCTTTTGCATCGTATCTATCGCATCTTTTGCATCGTATCTTTTGCATCGTATCTTTTGCACTTTGCCTCGCATCTTTTGCATCGTATCTTTTGTATCGTATCTTTTGCCTCGCATCTTTTGAATCGTATCTCTTGCCTCGCATCTTTTGCATCGTATCTTTTGCATCGTATCTTTTGCCTCGTATCTTTAGCATCGTATCTTTTGCATCGTATTTTTGCATCGCATCTTTTGCATCGTATCTTTTGCATCGTATCTTTTCGCATCTTTTGCGCATCGTATTTTTTGCATTTTTGCATCGTATCTTTTGCCTTCTTTTGCATATCTTTTGCCTCGCATCGCATCGTATCTTTTGCATCGCATCTATCGTATCTTTTACATCGTATCTTTTGCCTCGCATATCGCATCGTATCTTCAGCATCGTATCTTCAAATCATGTGGCGAAGAAGACGAGGCTTGACCTAAGCGACACCTCAGGACGGAAAAGTGTCTTAACTTCGCTTTATCAAACGTGATAAAAGCGTTGTATCTTGTTTGTCTCCAGCGGGCTTTGCGTTGATCTTGTCAAGACACAAAGTTAATGTCTTCTATAAACGACACGACGACTCCTTGTCTTTTGTGTGGGTCGCAGAAGGCTTGCGAGGGCGACATGAGCGTGACTGTGACACACAAAAGGGGGAAAAATGCCCAGTATGTATACACACACACGACACACACACACACACGTGTGGATTCATGTTGAACGGATTGCAAAGGGAACGACGAAGGAAGGGCTAGAAAACACACGAATATGCCGATTTTCACTATGCTTCGTCAGGGCATGAGAAAACACACGAATATGGACCTTTCACTATTGCATGCCCTGACGAAGCAATAGTGAAAGGCCTTCGCATATTCGTGTGTTTTCTCATGCCTGACGAAGCAATAGTGATTCGGCATATATACGCAATGTGATTCGCATAGTGTGTTTTCTGAACACACACACACACACACACACACACACACACACACACACACACACACACACACACACACACACACACACACATATTATATATATATATATATATATATATATATATATATATATATATATATAATATATATATTATATTATATATATATATATATATATAATATATATATATATATATATATATATATATATGTATATATATATATATATATATATATATATATATATATATATATATATATATATATATATAATATATATATATATATATATATATATATATATATATATATATATATATATATATATTATATATATATATATATTATATATATATATATATATATATAATATATATATATATGTATATATATATATGCACACACACATATATATTTCACATGTATGATACATAGATATATGGACACACACACACACACACATACATATGTATATGTATATGTACATATATATATATATATATATATATATATATATATATATATATATATATATATATATAATATATATATATATATATGGTTGTATGTATGTATATACATATATGCTATAATGTGCATATATATAATACACATATTCGTGTGTGTGTATATATGTATGTGTGTTTTTATGCGTGTAGATATGTATGAATGTATGTGCATGTAGGAGTTTTCGTCCCAACGCAGACTGTTAAGCCCATCATTCCCTGAAGTCTTCCATCCATACCCCAACACAATATGATATTCGAGGCAAGCAATGAGCCTCATAGGTCATGCCATTCACGCATTAATTATTCATGCCTGTATCAGCACCACTCCAGGAAATTATGTTTTCGCTGGCGGCCTGACGGTGAGCGCAGCGTTCATTAGTCTAAAAGATATTTATGCGGGGATATAGACTGCAAGTCTGAATATGCAAGACAGGCAACATTTCTAGTGTGTGTATGATTTTGGGTAATGTCGCATCATTACATTTCTTTTTTAGCACATTAGTCACAACTACTTGATTTGTTTTACTGGGAAATGACTCTTGTACATGCAAAGTATGTTTTAATATCATAACTGATCCTCCTCCTCCCATATTAAAAAGTAAATGAACCTGATTATTTATTTTTTTTTGTCCTCATAAGCAGTGTAAGGAACGTATTATAAAATTCTTAAAACCTCGAATATACATTGCTTAAATCTGGTTCTACATGTTATATGAAAAAAAGTTGATTTCAGACAGATTTCTTTTATGGTACATCGAAGTCAACACTGATTGGTTATCTTGATTAAGACGGATATTTTACGACAAATGAACATCAGTAGGAACCCGTGAGGTAAAGGAAATAATTTATAGTAAAAATTTCATATCTCCTCCTTGATTTGAAGAAATGCATGGGAAGAAATAGATTATGTTCTGGTTTCGTTCTGATCTCTATCTCTCTCACGTTTTCTTTGCCCTCCGTTCCTCTCTCTCTCTCTCTCTCTCTTTCTCTATGTGCCTCTGCCTTTCTCTCTCTCTGTCTTTCTCTTTGAATAAACCTTGAGCGTTAATTCCCCTTTTTACAGTTGATTTTGCATCAATACCATTCCACTAGCCTTTAACCTTAATCATTGACTTCCAAAATGGAAATCATTAACAATATCATGAATTCATTATCATTACCCTGCTCCGTCATGCAATCTGCCGACCCCCTTCCTCCTCTGCTAAAACAACAATATGATAATGC